GGAAGGCGGGAGGGGCGCGAGGGGGTGGGCGGGGCCAGGCGCGCGCCGCGCAGCGTTTTGCCCCTGCAGCCTGTTGATTGGCGGAGGGTCGGCGCGCGCGCGGGAGGCGGGCCAATGAGAGAGCGCGGCCGCTCCGGAGTGCGCGGGTGTCAGTGAGTCGTGCTCTCGCGAGATGTTGGCCCCCGCATCTATTGCCGATGGCGGTGTCTCGCGAGATCTCCGGTGCCCTCACGGACCGGCCCGGCCCTGCCGCCATCGCTGAGGGAGCCGCGGCCGTGAGGGCACAGCCGCCTCAGCCCCGGTAGCGACCCCTCGGCAACGGCCCCTCGGCTCCTTCCCGGCGTCACAGACGTCCCTGGGCGCAAGGCAGGGCTCTGAAGAGGTCACAGAATCCCAGAGGAGTTGGGGTTGGAGGGACCTCTGGAGATGTCCCAGTCCAGCCCCCTGCCCAGGCAGGGGCGCCTGGAGCAGGTGGCACAGGGACACGTCCGGGTGGGTTTGGGATGTCCCCACAGAGGGAGGCTCCAGCCCTCCCTGGGCAGCTGTTCCAGGGCTCTGCCACCCTCGTGGAAAGAAGTTCTTCCTCATGTTGAGGTGGAACTCGTTGTGTTTTATCTTATGGCCATTGCTCTTCATCCTGTCCCTGAACAGAGTCTGGCACCATCCTCTGACACCCTTGGGGATATTTAATGGGTTTATGGGATGCCCTCTCAGCCTTCCCTCCTCTAGAATAAGCAGGCCCAGCTCCTGCAGTCTCTCCTCATCAGGGAGATGCTCCAGACCCCAAACCATCTTTGTGGCCTCCAAGGAGCTCTCCAGCAGCTCCCTGCCTTTCTGGTCCTCAGGAGAAGTCATGAGCTCTCCACCCCATCCCACTCGGGACAAACTGGAGTGACTGCTGTAGGTCACTGATCTGTGTGGCTCCTTCTGGGCTGAATTACAGATGCACTTTTGAGAAATAAATTAGTTATGGGGCTCAGGAATAAAACCCAAGGGAAATTACCATATTTTATCTGCTTAGACTTGTCATAATCTGGGTCTTGCACGGCCAAACTTGGGACAGTTTGACTCAGCTGCTCAACAGCCCTGGCACTGTGGATGGGGAAGTTTAGTAAAGGTGGCAGCTGAAGCTGGAATTGCTTCATGTTTTTGTTGAGGAACAGGAGTTAGAACCCGTGGGAAGGCAGGAGGACACTAGGTGGAGCTCCGTGCTCTCTGCTGGGATTAGGAGGATGGAAGTAAGGGGGAAAAGCTGAGTTTTGGGGTCAGGATTTACCCAGCAGTGAAAAAATGAAACATTTTACCAAAGTATCTGGATCAGTGAAATTCCACCTGGAGGATCTGACCTGCTGAAGGTCCTGCAGAGCTTTCAGGAGGAAAAAACCAATCACTGAGTTTTGTAAGACAGGGCCAGCTGCAGGGGAGCACTCCCAAAATCTGTCTCTTTGCAAGTGGAACCTGGGGGCCAAATCAGGACAGGCTGGATCAGCCCTGAGGCAGCTGCTCTTACCAGGGCAGGGAGAGTGTGGGATTGTTCCTGGAAAGCACAAATCCACAGGAAATGCCACAGAGCAGGGATTTTTGTTCCTTGAGAAGGTGGTTTTGCTGCCAGGAGGGGTTGTGGGGCCTCCCAGGAGGTGCCAATGTGATGCAGGTTTTAGTGGTATTTGAATTTTTCAGCTGGAGCAATGCTGGTGTGGTCCCAGCAGCCAATTCTGCTGCCAGCGATAGGAATTCTGTGAACCTGGAACTGCAGTAGCTCTGCTTATTCTGCTTGTGAACTCTGTTGGCTTGAAATGAAGCAAATGGAAAGTTAAAAAAAAAAAAATTGCTATGAGTAGGTCTGGCTAGGGATGTTTAAAAAAGCAACAGTAAGATGGGCTTATCTTCCCCAAAAATCTTGATTTTGATCCCATGGAACTGCTCAGAGAACATCCAGAGATAGAAACAGAAAATCAGTTCCGTTATATTTTTTTGGAAAAAAAAAGAAATTAGATGTGCATCTGCTGTCCCTTCTGAATAATTAAATCAATCCTCCCTGCCACAAAAAATGAGGTACAGAACCAAGATGAGAGAAGTATTTACAAGGAGATTCAGAAACTTCACAAACAGCTGTCTCAATATTTGGTTTGGAATCCAAACCGTGCACCAGTTTCAGCCAAAAAAGAATATTGCAAACTAATTGAATTTAGTTTCTGCACAATAAAAATTACCAGTTAGTTAAACTGACCTGCTCAAGAGATCCAAGCTTATTGGAAAAAAATACAAAATATAAAATCTCAGACAATCTGGCAGTCAGTGTCTGACAATGGTGCTCTGTTCCCACCCCGTGGGCTGAGAGTGTCCCTGGGAATTCCTTTGTGCCACTGCTGCACACCCCCAGCCCTCACACTCACAAAACAACCTCGCTTTGGGTTGGTTTCGAGGATAAAAAATGGCTAAAAATAGTTGGGGTGCACCAGGGAACAAAGCCTTGCAGCGTGAGTGGCACACTGGGGCTGCTCAGAGCCTCCCTTGCTGTGTCCAAGCTGGTTTTTTCTATTTCCTTGCTTATATTTTTCAGTTAAAGAACTCAGATTTTGTGTAAGACAAAGCATTCTAACACATTCAGCCATGAACCTGAGCTGAGAGTGAAACCCCTCAGACAGCGAGTTCCTTCAGAAAGGGACAGTTACAGAGTTTACAGAAGTAGTTTAAAAATACTTGAAAATAAGAAGTAACATTTTTTTTTCCTCAACCTGTACATATGTGAGATTAGAAACATGAAATATGAATAAAGATAAATACAATTTTGATACCACCTGTACTACCCATCAGGTATAAAAAAAGCCACAAACCTCTTGAATGTAACTCAGGTCCAAACTGAGCTTGGGGCATGTCCAGACTTTTCCTCCAGTTCATCAGCAGAACAGAGAGGGTTCAGAGTCTCTGAGGAAGCAAAAGCCCCCCAAAACCTGGGCATCTTCTCTTCCTGGTTCATCCAGACCCAGAGGAGGCCTCGCTGCCATCCTGATGATTCCTACACCTCCACCTGTCATTTCAGTTACAGGAAAAGTGTCCAGACCTCTGGTTTTTCCTCCCAAAGCAAGAAACCAGGATTTATATCAGTTTACAGAAGGAAAAACAACTGCTTGCTGCTCCCAGTGCAGCTCTGCTGAGGAGTCCCAGCTCCATGGGATAACAATTCCATCTCTTCTCTGGCAGGAGTTCCTGGTTACCTGCTCTGCAGGTGGATGTCCACAGGGATGAAGGTCACCGAGGGCTGCTGGGCCAGGCTGTGGCTGCTGTGCCCCACAGGAGGTGGCACTGCCAGCTTGGAGGCTTTGGGTTGCAGCTCCCGCCGCACTCGCATGCGCCTGGCAAAGGTAAAAGGGCAGTTGGCACCTGGGGTGGTCTCTCCTCTCCCAGGGTAAGTTTTGGGGAGGTTCCCACACAGCCCAGTCATGCCAAGCCAGGATTTCATCCCAGAGATACCAAAAGTTCTCCCAGAGCATGTGAGCTCTGAGAATTGAGGAACCAAACTCCCCCTCTGGCAGCCTTGGTGCACACTCAGACCTTCCCTGCATCACCAGGAATCCCTAAAAAGAGCTCCCACCACAAAGCCTCCATCAAGGAGCTCTTTGTGCTTCCTAAGATCGAACCACAGAGCACTGACAGTGAGATTCAGTGCACTGCAATCAGCACTTCAGTGCTTAGAGTCTCCTGGAAATTTTCAGCAACAAGCCCTCAAATGCTCTGTTAGCTGAGAGCAGGGGCTTTGGTCCATCCTGTTTGACTTGGTCACGTACCTGTTGTATGTTTTCAGGATGAGCAGCACCACTGTGAAAATAATAATCACCCCCACCACAATGGCAGCAACTATTGCTCCAGAACCTGGGAGAGAAGCAGGAAGGGAAAAAAAACATATTTACAAAGTTGTCACTGTAGTGTTTGAAGTTTGATAAGTTCAAAGTCCTCTTAAAACCAAAAAAAGCCACCACCCCACTCCTTCCACTCCTTTCCTTACTTTGATAGAGACTTTGTTCTTGAGATTTTGTGGTCACATTCACTGAGAGCTGAGTGTTATTGGTCAGTGGCGTGGCCGACGTCATCTTGAGTTGGCTGCAGAGGGGAAAAAGAGGAGTGAATTCCCAAAATCTTAACAAATTTCACAGTGCTAATGAGGCAACTGCCCACCAAAGGCTCAGAGCCTGCCAAGTGCAGGCTCACTGAACTGGGGTTCTTCATATTTTCATTGTGGTGGAAACCTGGCCCCGCTGAAGGAATGGAAATTGGAAGTTGGTATGATGGAAACTTTGGTACAATCTTGAGCAATTTGCCTAAAGTACCCCCTGGTCAGTGTTAATAGGATAAAATAAGATATAAACACAATAAGGTGTTTTAAATACTTTGGGAATTTAGATTATCACCTCTGGTTGAGATTCAGATCACTGAGCAAATGAGTGTGAAGGATTCTGCAGAATTCAGCAATGTCTTGAGGGAAGGGAAAAACTGACCACAGAAAGGTTTAAAAACTCCATTATAAAATAGAATTTAAAGGAGCTTCATTCATCTAACATGGAAAACAAAAACCATTTAACCCCTTCACTTGGAGCTCCAAAAGTGTCAGGACAAACACCTGAATGCCCCTGAAGATTGCAACGTGGCTGAGGCAGGAGGCTGTGAGTTCAGCCCAGTGTCAGCTCAGGTCTGTTATTGGAAGGGGATGAACTTCCAAGGGCACAGCTGAAAACATGCCTGTGTTTTGGTGGGTAAAACTGTGGATCTGGAAAGAGCAGCCGGGATGTTTGCTGGTTTTAAAAGGGTTTTCCAAGTGTCCCTGGAAACCCGAGCCATTAAAGGGCTCCTTCAGCCCGAGAAGGGTGTGAGCACCACTTCAAAGAGCCCTCTGGAACCAGCTCAGCTCCCAGTCCCAGAGCTGAGACACTCCAACTGCCCCTTGAAAAGTAAATTATCCTTCAGCACTTGATATGGAACTGAGTTTCCCACTTCAGATGCTGCTCAGTACAGCCAGGCAGGACTCTGGTGCTCCCCTGGGATATTGTGTGGCATGGTAATTTTAATTGTACACAAGATAAACAATAGCCAGAAATAATTCAATGAAAATCAGTTGGTAATAAAAATTAATACCAATTAAAAACCTGCAGAGCTGGTCAGTGAGGAATGAGAGAGATCAGAAAGCAGCAGGAAGGGAAGTGGTTGGTGTCTGACTGGGATGCAGGATCAGAACTGCAAGGACCACTCTTCAAATACTCCAATCCTCTCGAGTTAAAAGTTTGGTTTTCTTCTTTTAATCTAAAAACCAAAATAACTTTGCCACAAGCCTGTAACTGGGTCATTCTCCTGTGAGTGAATGATTCCTTTGTTTAGCCAAGGCCAAGTTAATTCAGCAGCATGAGCATCAGCTGAATTATTTTGTGTTCAGACTCTCCCCAGCCCTATTGTCCAGCACAGGGCTCACACACACCTCAGAGGGACCTTGGAGGCACCAGAGCTCAGGGACAGCTGTTCCTGTCTCCTCACCCATCCTCCCATATGGAAAATGGTTTAACCAGTGGCAGCAGAGGCTCAAGAGACTCTTCATGAAAAGCTGATCAAGTGTTCTGACTGTGGGCATAATTCAGGAAAAGCCACATCCAGCTCTCACCTTGTGGCTCTTGACTCAGGCACTGCAAATGCCAGACCTACAGAAGCCTTTTTTCCCTTCTTCTGGCTACCAAAATAAAAACTCCAAATAAATAAGGCTGAATATTTTAATATTAAACCATGAAATATTTATCCTTCCTACCTTCCCTCTGGGTCAAACCACCTTGGCAATGGGGAGCTGTTTGTGCATGAGTCACCCAGACCCAAAGAATTTTTATTGTCGTAGTGAAACCACCTGTTTACGAAAGGGATTAATTTATCCAGCAGGCTGCACCAATCTGAGGTGCAGTTTGAAAACTGCAGCAGGTCGGGATTTCTCTGCTTTGTGTAGCAAGTCAAGAGCTGCAAGGTCTGTGTCTCCAGCCAGGGTGGAAGGTGCCAGTCCTGCTCTTACCAGGAATGGAGTCCCAGCTCCATTCCTGCCCCGTGAAATCAGCAGGTTACACCTGACCAAGCCTCTGCTCCAAGAAAGACCCAGCAATGCCCAGCAAAATCCATGGGAACCTACTGATTTTCAGCCTGGATCCTACTCTATTCAAAAAAAAAGTTTGGAAAATCAGGAGTGCTGGATAAAAGCCATTCAGCAGGGGAGAAGAAGTGGACTTTGATACAGTAATCACAGGACATTCTTTGTCCATGACACAGGGCTGCACTTCCCCCTGTGCACACACACCTGCCTGTGCTCTCAGAGCCTCTCATTCACCCTCACTCTCCACACTGCTGGTTATTTTTGCATCCCCACGTTATGGAGCTGGAAATGTTTCCATAAAGTTCAGTTTGGGCACGTTTCCATTTCAAACACCTTGGCAGATACAGGGGATAGGTTGTTCTGGCAAATGGGAGCAGTGCCCCCTTTTGCAAAGCCTCCCTTCTGGACTGAGCTGAGGGGCCCTGCTGGGCTGGGTTTGTTTGTGAGGAGATGAGGCTCAGGGCTCACCTGTCAGCAGCACCTGGCAATGGCAGCACAGGGGCCACAGGGAACAGAGGGGATTGTTTGAGGGTTTTTCCAGGGTGGCTGGACTTGGAGAGGCAGCTCCCTGCCAGGGAAGGCAGGTGCTGGTTAGGAGGACACAGATGCAGTGCTTTCACCTGGGGAAAGGTGGGGTTTGCATGGAGCTGGGTTGTTCCTGCCCTCAGCTTCCCAGCACCCCGGGAACACCGCCAGGGATCGAGGCAAGCTGTGATTTCAGGGAGTAATAAAAACACAACGTCCTTCAGTGAGACCTGAACGTGCCTGGGTTTACCTTGTGAGGCTCCAAAGAGGGAGGAAGGAGGAATGAAAAGCCCAAGTTCAAAGTGGCCTGAGGCAAACAACCCTCCCTGTGTGAGCCTGAGTGTCCCCATGTCAGGGCAGCACCTTTACATAAGCATTTTCTCAGGTTCTGGCATGAGCTGCCCAGGTTGTGCTGCTGCTAAAACACATTAAAAGCAGTTCATTGCCTTGCCAAGACAGAGACAGTGGCACAAACTGCAGGCAGCTCTGGGCAGTAGCAGCACCAACTAAAAACCCCTCAGTAATTTTACCTGCCTGGTTTAGATCATGAGAGGCACTAAAACCCCTCAGCTCCCACAGGTAGACAAGAAGTGACAACAGGACCCCCAAAAGGAACACCCTCATTTCTAAAGCCATGCCTGGAAATGTAAACTTGGTAGATTTTTGTCACTGACTCACTCAGGAGCAGTGTCTAAACCAGACTGTGAACTGCACATTGCCCAATTAGATTTTCTTTAAAGCCAGCAGTTAAAGGGTCTTATAAAAAGGAGGGAGATGGGCTTTTTATGCAGGCAGCACAAGGGGGAATGGCTTCCCACTGCCAGAGGCAGGGTTAGATGGGATATTGGGAAAAACCTTTTCCTTGTGAGGGTGATACAGCCTTGGCACAGGTGCCCAGAGCAGCTGTGGCTGTCCCTGGATCCCTGGCAGTGCCCAAGGCCAGGCTGGACAGGGCTGGGAGCAGCCTGGGGCTGTGGAAAGTGTCCCTGCCATGGCAGGGGTGGCACTGGAGCGGCTTTAAGGTTCTTTCAAACCCAACATGTTCCATGATTCTATATGTAAAGAATTCTGTACACGGTCCAAAGGATCCACACAGAAATGCAGCTCCTCTCACTGCACACAGCAGCACAGAGGCAGTCCCAGGATTTTTTGCCTATGCCAGCTTGTTAGATGGGATATTGGGAAAAACCTTTTCCTTGTGAGGGTGATACAGCCTTGGCACAGGTGCCCAGAGCAGCTGTGGCTGCCCCTGGATCCCTGGCAGTGCCCAAGGCCAGGCTGGACAGGGCTGGGAGCAGCCTGGGGCTGTGGAAAGTGTCCCTGCCATGGCAGGGGTGGCACTGGAGCGGCTTTAAGGTTCTTTCAAACCCAACATGTTCCATGATTCTATATGTAAAGAATTCTGTACACGGTCCAAAGGATCCACACAGAAATGCAGCTCCTCTCACTGCACACAGCAGCACAGAGGCAGTCCCAGGATTTTTTGCCTATGCCAGCTTGTTGAATCAGTGAGGCACCTTCCCTCTGCGGAGCCCTGAAGACACACGCAGCAGCTGACACCTCACACTTGCAGCCTGTTCTCCACCAGAACCCCTTGGCAAACCCTCAGTGCCCCAATGTGGCACCCACAGAGGGACAATAACTCTGTCAGACCCTGAAGTCACTGGTCTCTGCTCTGCCTTTGTCTCCTGGTTTGTAATCACTAAATCAACCCCTCCTGCCACCCAGCACAATGCATCTCATCAGTGAAAGCTGTTTACAAAAAGCTACGCTTCCTTTAGCAAGGACTTCCTGGGGCATTAAATACATTAATTACCAGGAAAAACCAGAAATCACCGTTTAAACCTGTCAGCAGCTTCAGTGTGTTCCCAAATAATGCAAGCAGTGTAGTTTTGTTCTGTGCTGGAGACACTCAGTGAACTGTAACACAATGCTCTGAGCTTTCGAGTTCTTTTCCTGTTAAATATTACTCTGCCAGCTCTTTCCAGCACGCTGCTCAGCAGATAGGAGAAAAAAAGTATAGGAAAAAAAAAACAAAAAAAACAAAAAACCCAAAACCACAAACAAATAACCACTAACAAACCCATATTTATAGTGCCAGGGTTGAATAAGTCAGGACAAGAGATTCAGCGTCCCCAGCGATGAAAGGACACCGCCGGCGGTGGAATGAGCTTTCAACAGCCGCGCCAGAGCAGCCCCAGTCCCGTCCCTTACGGCTCCCAATTAATGGAACAACTGCTCAAGCACCAGTTGAACAGAAAAACGTGCGACGACATCTGCTCTCCATTTCTTTCTGGTTTGGAGGTACCGATAAAGAACTGGCGTTTCCCGTGGTACATCCACAGTGCCTCGCACAAAAACCCGGAGCAACCGCGCTGCAACCACCGCTGGGAACGGCGGCGGAAAGGAGCAGAGCTTTGGGGCAGAAAGGAGCAGAGCTTTGGGGCAGAAAGGAGCAGAGCTTTGGGGCAGAAAGGAATCCCCATGTCAGGGCAGCACCTTTACATAAGCATTTTCTCAGGTTCTGGCATGAGCTGCCCAGGTTGTGCTGCTGCTAAAACACATTAAAAGCAGTTCATTGCCTTGCCAAGACAGAGACAGTGGCACAAACTGCAGGCAGCTCTGGGCAGTAGCAGCACCAACTAAAAACCCCTCAGTAATTTTACCTGCCTGGTTTAGATCATGAGAGGCACTAAAACCCCTCAGCTCCCACAGGTAGACAAGAAGTGACAACAGGACCCCCAAAAGGAACACCCTCATTTCTAAAGCCATGCCTGGAAATGTAAACTTGGTAGATTTTTGTCACTGACTCACTCAGGAGCAGTGTCTAAACCAGACTGTGAACTGCACATTGCCCAATTAGATTTTCTTTAAAGCCAGCAGTTAAAGGGTCTTATAAAAAGGAGGGAGATGGGCTTTTTATGCAGGCAGCACAAGGGGGAATGGCTTCCCACTGCCAGAGGCAGGGTTAGATGGGATATTGGGAAAAACCTTTTCCTTGTGAGGGTGATACAGCCTTGGCACAGGTGCCCAGAGCAGCTGTGGCTGCCCCTGGATCCCTGGCAGTGCCCAAGGCCAGGCTGGACAGGGCTGGGAGCAGCCTGGGGCTGTGGAAAGTGTCCCTGCCATGGCAGGGGTGGCACTGGAGCGGCTTTAAGGTTCTTTCAAACCCAACATGTTCCATGATTCTATATGTAAAGAATTCTGTACACGGTCCAAAGGATCCACACAGAAATGCAGCTCCTCTCACTGCACACAGCAGCACAGAGGCAGTCCCAGGATTTTTTGCCTATGCCAGCTTGTTGAATCAGTGAGGCACCTTCCCTCTGCGGAGCCCTGAAGACACACGCAGCAGCTGACACCTCACACTTGCAGCCTGTTCTCCACCAGAACCCCTTGGCAAACCCTCAGTGCCCCAATGTGGCACCCACAGAGGGACAATAACTCTGTCAGACCCTGAAGTCACTGGTCTCTGCTCTGCCTTTGTCTCCTGGTTTGTAATCACTAAATCAACCCCTCCTGCCACCCAGCACAATGCATCTCATCAGTGAAAGCTGTTTACAAAAAGCTACGCTTCCTTTAGCAAGGACTTCCTGGGGCATTAAATACATTAATTACCAGGAAAAACCAGAAATCACCGTTTAAACCTGTCAGCAGCTTCAGTGTGTTCCCAAATAATGCAAGCAGTGTGGTTTTGTTCTGTGCTGGAGACACTCAGTGAACTGTAACACAATGCTCTGAGCTTTCGAGTTCTTTTCCTGTTAAATATTACTCTGCCAGCTCTTTCCAGCACGCTGCTCAGCAGATAGGAGAAAAAAAGTATAGGAAAAAAAAAACAAAAAAAACAAAAAACCCAAAACCACAAACAAATAACCGCTAACAAACCCATATTTATAGTGCCAGGGTTGAATAAGTCAGGACAAGAGATTCAGCGTCCCCAGCGATGAAAGGACACCGCCGGCGATGGAATGAGCTTTCAACAGCCGCGCCAGAGCAGCCCCAGTCCCGTCCCTTACGGCTCCCAATTAATGGAACAACTGCTCAAGCACCAGTTGAACAGAAAAACGTGCGACGACATCTGCTCTCCATTTCTTTCTGGTTTGGAGGTACCGATAAAGAACTGGCGTTTCCCGTGGTACATCCACAGTGCCTCGCACAAAAACCCGGAGCAACCGCGCTGCAACCACCGCTGGGAACGGCGGCGGAAAGGAGCAGAGCTTTGGGGCAGAAAGGAGCAGAGCTTTGGGGCAGAAAGGAACAGAGCTTTGGGGTAGAAAGGAACAGAGCTTTGGGGCAGAAAGGTTACAATTATCCCCATCCAAGAGCGGTTCCTACACCCGACCCTCAGCCGGCGCTACTCACGGAGGATGCTGCGCGCTCGGGGCTCCGGCGCTGCCGCAGCGGCTCCCGGCTCCGTCTGCCCGCCGGGGCTGCGGGGCTGCCCCCGCCGCCGCTCCCGCCCCTTCCCCAGCCCGGAGCTGCCGAGCCCAGCCCAGCCCAGCCCAGCCCCGCTGCTGCCGCGGGGAGCCCGGTGCCGGTGCGGCCGGAGCCCCGGCACAGCCCCGCCGCCGCAGGTGCCTCCCCGGGGCCGCCCAGCCCGGCCCGGCCCCCGGCGCCGCCTCCCCGGGCCCGTGCGGGGCTGAGGGTGCCCCGACCCCGCCGGGCAGCGGCTGGGCGGATGGAGGAGTCTGGGATAACGCCCCCGTCTCACAGCGAGAGTTGCAAAACTTTGGGAACAGCCCCGGTTTCTGCGGCTCTTCGATGGCCAAAGGTCTCCCAGGCACTTCGGGAGACCCCAAGCGCATCCAGCCCAAAGGGAACGAGTGGTTTTTGTCAACTCATCAGTGGAATCAAAAGGATCAAACTGGAAAGGAATCATCGCCTTTTAACCTGTTGGCTTTATCCTGCAGAGAAGTGTGACCACAGTCCCTGTCTGGATTTTTCCTGTGGACATCACATTTTAGAAGGGGATCTGTCCCCTGCCTGGGCCTGATGCTGTTCCCATGGAAAGCCAGAAAACCACAAGAACAAGCCACAGCCCTCTTTCAGGCTCCATTTGTGGTTTAGGGTGGTCGAGCTGCTGTGCAGATGTTTCCCCCCATTCTCCATTTCAGCCAGAGCCACGTCACCCACCTCCCTTCTAATGCAACCTGAAACAGGAGAAAACCTGCTCCTTACAGACTCCCACCTCCATATGGAAGGCAGCAACAGGGGGGTCCTGATGGTCCATAAACATTTCCAGTGGATTTCTTGGGAAGACCAGAGTCCAGTTGGGCTGAAAAAGGAGGTTCTTGTTACCTTGCAGCTCTCCTTTTCCTCCTCCAGAAACATTTGTGCCCTTAACACAGCTCATGCTTTACTTTGGTGTCCACCATAGGCTGATTTCCACAGAAAACCCACAGAACACAACCACAGAAGCTTTTTCACCAGAAATCAGAGTTTCCAGATCTGATTATTTAGCAAATTTTTCGTACAGCTACAAAGACCCACATTAGTCACTTCCACCTCAATCCCACTGAAGCCCATGCAGTTCCTTCAAACCAGAGACTGAAATCCCAGCAGGGATTACTCACCAATCATCTTTCCAAGGGAATACATTTCCCTTGATTGATTTCCTTACGATGACTGTCCCATCCTGCATAAACAAGCAGGAGCACGAGGCTCTCCTGGGAACAGGAGTGGTTTTCCAGCCACAAACCTTCCCTGGGCTGTATCTCTGGGGAGCAGAAGGGGCTTCTTTCAACAGTCAGCAACCATAATTGGGAAGAGGTATGAATGTAAGTTAATAAAAATAATTAATAACTCCATTTAAGTAGCACAGGAAGGGAGGCAGCAGCCCCTGTGACTGTTGGGCAGTACAAGTAAAAGCAAATGTGAGTTCCCAAAGCCTCTGTGACAGCAGAGAGGGAAGGTGGGACTTTCCCAAGGGTCTGTCCTTCACCAGGTCCTAAATTTGTAGCCCTTTACTATGAGCTAGAGCCACACACCAGGTTTATACACTGTTAAATGTATAAATACATTTGCATAATGGATAAATAAAGTTTATACACTGTTACTATAAAGCTCTGCTGTCAACATCAGTGACCCAGCTTGCAGGCACCAACCCTGAGCTTACCCCATTAAGGGAGGACCAAAGGAGACTCTGGGATGCTCCATAAAAATCCTGATGAAGTCAATGGACATCAAAGGACAAAACATAACTCTGAATTAACTCCAGGCTTACTACAGCATTACCAAGCCCTAGGAAGTGACACAGCCTTACAAGGTGTGGAGTGTCACTGAATTTACCATGGAGCAGGTTTGGGCTCCTCCTGGAGCAGCAGCTCAGCTCCCAGCTCTGCTGATTAATCTGCAGTTTGCCTGCTCCTGGCAGGGCACAGCAGAGCTGGAGTGTCTCAGTGAGAACAAAGAGGAAACAGATATCACAGCAGATATCAAAAACAGCTAAAAATTCTTTATGATTGAGCTTGGAACTGAATTGTGAAATCAGGCCCTTAGTGATCTCCATGCACCCACAGCCTCAGAAATAATTACCAGACCCCCAGGGAGGGATGGAGGGAGCTGAGGTGACTGTCCCAGCAGGAGGGCACAGCTCAGCCTGGCTGCCCTCCCAATCCCTGTCCTGTGTCTGTGATCCCAACACAGAGCCACAGAGGACAGGAATTGGTTATTTTTATGTTTTATGTAAGAGCAAACCAGACTGCCAGAATGTCTTTCCCACTGCCTCACCCCAATGGTTGAAATGCTGCTGATGGTTGGAATATGTTCCCTTCACCAGGGAAATCAAACATTCCCTCTACAAGCCTGAGCATGCCAAAGTGTTACAGTACAGAGCCTGGTTCAGAGCAGGATTTTAACACATTAGGTAACATCTAAAACACAGTGTTTTCTACTTTCTAGGCCCTGCTCTTGTTTTATGGAGCAATCAGACCCTGTGACCCTCCCTGGAACAGTGAGTGGTGGCAGGGACAGCCCTGTGTCACACTCACTCACATCTCAGGGTCAGTACCTACAGGAGGAGAAGTCTTTTATCTTGCTCTGCATTTTCTCCAAGGGGATGAAGCTTGGTTGGGGTCTCTTTCCACACCAGGAATCTCTCTTAGTGAGTTTTACACTGAGAGTGGAGCAAATAAACAAAACCCAGTAAGATTCACAGACCAGCCCTCTGTTCTGGGTTCAAAAGTATCCCTAATCCAAACCCAGACAAAAATGGAAATTAAACCTTTCAGGGAATAAATGAAGCAGTTGGAATTTTGTGCACAGGGTCTTTCCAGGAGACAAGGCAGAATGAGGAGCTGCAATCACAGGTTCTCAGCTGTTATAAAACCAAAGTACTCCCATAACTGCAGAACACAAAGAAACACCACATGTTTCAGCTGCTGCTCAAGGAGGACGTTTTAAAGGAATTTGGGGTATTTATTTATACAAAGTGCAAGCTCAGAAAGAGCTGAGTTGGTGCCTCTGTGCAAGCTTGCTGCTAAAAACAGCCCTCACCAGCAGGTCAGTGATTAGGAGAAACAGGTCCTGGTGGGGGGTACTGAATCATGGCATGAGGAAGAAAGCAAACTCCAGCTTCATTTCCCAAGGCAACATGTCACCCTGGAGTGGAGCAGAATAGAATCACTTCTGGTACTGATCAATGGCTTCATTAAAGCTTTGAAGCCTCTGTTTGGCTCCTCCTACCCACCCAGAGTGGTCTCAGGGATCCCAAATCCCTCCTGTGGGTCCCTGCCCTCCCCAGCTCCTGGGACATGGAGTCCCCATCCCATCTGCCCATGAGAACACTGAAGCAGACACCACCATCACAGATCTCAATATCCACCTTGTGCAGCATGGAACACAGTCCAAATCCCAACTGTGAATGGCACTGCATTGTTTATTTGAAGTGTCTTTACACAATGGAAAGTGCTGGAATGTTGTTCCACATTTTACACATTTATACATCAACAACATCACACTGGATTCTCCTTATAAAACTGTTTCTGAAGGTTTTCCATTTAGTCCTACTTACAGCAACTTCTACACTGGGGTAGAAATGAAATCATTGAAAAAACAGAAACACCACAGAGAATCCAACCCAGACTTCTGGAATTTCAAAAATCCATAAGCCTGCTGGATAACACAGGTTTTTGTTGGGTTTTTTACCTTTGTTTTAATTCCATGGAACAGTGAGACAGTGAAGCTGGGCTTGGAGTGATTTCAATACCTGAAGAGATACATAAATATCACACCTGTGATAGATGGACAAACCCCATTTCCCTGCCTTTTTACTCTGTCCTATTCCTGTCTCTGGAGCAAGGACCTGCCTGCAGAATACCAGTTGGAAGCTGGTGGCAGGAGGGATCCTGAGCTAAAACGAAGCTAAAACCTCCACATCCATGAGAATCCCTGCCCATTCCTTTTCCCCTTGCTGTCAGTCAAGTGAAAACACTTCTGAAAGTTCAAGAAGCACATCAGGTACAACTGAAACACACTGAAATGAACCTGAAAAATCTGAATTTCAGAATGATTTCTACATAGGAACATCAGCAGCCTGGTTTGTTCACAAATAATTTTATCTTTTTAAATAGAAAAAAAGAAGAATCTGTCTAGACTAAAAAAGTTTGGCTATAAAATAGCATAAAAGCACAGGAGCAGGTGTTGTTATACCAAGGCATATTTTCCTCCTACTAAAACACTTAACACAAGATCACAAAATCAAAGATCTCTATTCTAAAAGATGCATCCTGGTCTCAGAAGCAGCAGATGCTCTGTCAGACACACAGGAGGCCACACAGAAAAAGTTTTCATGAAAAACAGCAAACAAGGGCTGAAACTGCATAAAAACTGGCTAAGCCAGGCAACTGATTGTCTTTGAAAATACAAAACAGATTGAAGAAGTTAACAATTAACCCTTGGATGTTTTAGCTCCTGCCAGGACCTAACAGTCACTGGATGTATTCAGAGGTGGAGGCTGTCCCAAGGACTGGAGAGGAATAAACATCCCCAGATTGTCAGAGAGGATCAGACACAGCACACTCAACAGTTGGATCCATATTTCACTCTACCACTGTCATTAACTCCTAATTAGGGGTCAGGGTACCACCCCAGACACCAGAGCAGGAGTGTTGGTGATGGACTCTGAGGTTCTTCCTCTGGTGTTCTCCTCCCTGCAGTCACCAACCCTGAATTCAGCTTCTCAGTGTATTTGTGCCTCATGTCAAACTACAAACATACAGCTGGTATTTCTGAGAAAAGCAAAGGTTGACCCTCACCTCAGCTGGCAAGGAATCTGAGCATAGAGAGTGCATTTCACTTGTGTTTAACACTAGATTAACTGGAAGCTGTTGGACAGATCAGCTTTTAACTGCTGTACAAGGAACTTGCTGGAACCCACTCGTGACAGGAGGAGATTATTTCAGCACTTGGAACATCACACTGTACAACAGAGAGCAAAGGGTGACATCTTAAAAAACCAAAACACAGCCAGACTCCCTAATTGTCACTATTTCAAGTCAGGTGGATTTGCTACACTCAGGGGGGACTAGTCCCTAAAATTAAAGTGCTTTTCAGAGCATTGGCA